ATATCATCTAAAATTAATGGTTTAAAATGTGAGCCTGTTGTCATTGACATGGTCCAATGATACATATATTGCTCAAAGCTGGTCGTTTACGAGCGGCATATTGCCTCGCAAGTGCTCATTAATCAGAATCGATTTTCAAAAATGTGTTTACAAACCAATATTTTGCCTTTGAATATAGTAAAATAAATATTTACCTACATTTTTATTTCAAGGCATAAACTTATTATTATGTAGTTAAAGAATATGAAAATTAAATTATAGTCTAGAATAGGAAATGCATGAACTTATATATTAAAACTGGTTTTAAAACAATAATCACGAAGTCTAATTAAATACCAAATGGGTAATGGGAACCATGATCAAATTCAAATCTTGGAAAAGATATATAAATTCTTCAAATATTTTTTCAATACTGCTTACACATCCATAAAAATATTAAAAATGGTTTTTAGAATAAATCCCAGATATGCATGATTTTAAACCATTAAATCAATTTCAAAACCCAGACACCATCGTCCGACCTCAATTAATTCGTAAAATTTAACCCTCCAAAAAACAATATGTCTGAGTACGTTCGCTTGTCACCTACTAAAACTATGGCACCCAACCAACCAACCAACCAACCAACCAACTGGAAAATAACATCCTAAGTCCTACGTCACAAATGGATAAAGTAAATTTTTATGAAAAGACCTACTTTATTACTAACTGTAAACTAATTTACCAACATCCTTATTTTTATTTAAAACCTGCTGGCAACAAAAAAATGTTATTAGAATAAAAGGTATATTTTTAATCATAACAAAGACTACCTAGAGAACAGTTCCATTTTGAAAATTGTAAAATATTAAACAATTTCAAAGTATATGCAAGATAGTTTTAGTGTTGTTGTACCTTAATTCTTCAGGTTTGCACACAACATACAATCTATAGGGTCATCATGACTGATAATTGAAAGCAGATATAACTTTATAGAAACTATTTGAATATACATACCGTTTTTCAGGTAAGGCAAGGGTAAACTTTTTCATTATATTAAATTGATTTATCTCTATCTTGCCTCCCATAACCAAAGTCTATAAACTATTCGTTTTTCTCTATTTATGCCACGAAGTAGTTACCTTATCAGAACAGGTTTCCTATGAAATATAAAAAATGTTTTGCCCACTGCATAGTTCTTATAGAAAATTACATTTATTTATGCTTAAAATAATAGTAAATGATTTACCTTGCAGGCGTTTTTCGGCAACAATCGTCCAACTGGCACACGGTTTTCCGATATGTTAAAGTCGCACCATTTTCAAACAAACTCACAATTGAAAATGTCTTATGAGGAATTATATATAATATGTAAGGAGTTTGTTTGGAGAAAGTCGTGACGTCACGCCTTAGGATGTCTATTTGTCAATCATAAAATAAGAACTTAACCTTCTTAAACCATCTTTGAAATGACACTAATTATGCGTCTCAGTGACACAGAGACCCAAAATATCTACATAAACTTTGAACGCAAATATACATTAAGAAAAACTTTTGCACACCGGTGGTGTAGGACGTGCATTTGTGACACAGGTGATATTCCAAAAATAATTGTTACTGCCAAAAAAAAAATAACGCGAAGAGTCCCAAAATAAATATATCGCAGCACGTAGAACATGCAATCATTAAATGTTGTAACTATGTCATCATAGGGGTGTATTTGTAGGACGTGCATTTGTGACACAGGTGATATTCCAAAAATAATTGTTACTGCCAAAAAAAAATAACGCGAAGAGTCCCAAAATAAATATATCGCAGCACGTAGAACATGCAATCATTAAATGTTGTAACTATGTCATCATAGAGGTGTACAACCCCCCGGCAAGGAAAATCTCAAATGTAGACATGCATGCGCTAATGTCAAAAGGTAATAGAGTTTTTCTAGCTGGGGACTTAAATTGTAAACATCCCGAGTGGAACGCGAACTGTATCCACGCCAACCCCGCAGGTAATTTGTTGAGAGACTTCACCGAAGACAACGAGCTACTAATACACTACACGGACGAACCTACATGCACACCTTACAACGGGGGCACCCCAAGTACACTGGACATCGCAGTCACAAAAAACATAGCTGATGTGCAAAACATCAGAACAATCAGCACACTAAATTCAGATCACGATCCAGTGTACTTGGAAATAAGAACCACACAAAAAATTAACAGAAGACAAAAACAATACTACGATTACAAAACGACAAACTGTAACAAATACAGACAAAAAATCGAACAAACATTAACGTTAAACAATAACATAACCAACACACAACTCTTAGAGCAAATAACACATGAATTCATAACAGTCGTACAAAAAGCTAGAGACGACTCGACAAAAATCAAAATAACACCACAACACAAAGACAAACTGCCACCTGAAATCATAGACCTTATTTCTAACAAAAATCAAATCCGCAAAAGGTGGCAGCAACACAGGAGAGATGAAGATAGGGTGAGATTAATGGACATTGCAAAATATATAAATAAAGAAATCAACGAACACCGTAACAAAATTTGGCAAAAAACTCTGTCTGAAATCAATCCGAGGGATAATTATTTGTGGGGGGTTGTGAGAAGGTATAAAAAATCCTCCTCACAACTTCCTACATTGAAACAAGGACAAAATACACTTACAACAGACAACGAGAAAGCTCAAGCCTTCGGCGAATACTTTCAAGCAAATTTTAGAAATGATCAAATAAATAATAACCAACAGAATATTATCGAGCAAATGGTAAATGAATTAGGGGCGATGGATCCGGTACATGTTCCACACTCATTCTACACCTCTCCTTAAGAGATCGGGGAAACAATTAAGTTTCTCAAAAACAGGAAAGCTCCGGGCCCGGATGACATTAGCAATATACTAATTAAAAATTGACCTAAAAAGGGGGTTGTACAACTAAACTACATAATAAATGCAATTTTCAGGCTGCAATATTACCCTAGCTGCCTGAAGATTGCAAATATTATACCCATAGCAAAAGCGGGTAAAAATCCTAACAGAATTGACAGTTATAGGCCCATCTCGCTGTTAAATACAATTTCAAAAATAGTTGACAAAATCATTATAAATAGACTTAACAAAATAGAAGAACAACTACGACTTATCCCACAGGAACAGTACGGGTTCAGAAGTGGACACAGCACCGTTGCACAGATCATCCGGATCGTACATAGTGCCAAAGAGGCGACAAACATCAATAAACAAACGGTGCTGGTGGCGCTTGATAGCGAAAAGCTTTTGACTCCGTCTGGTCCTGTGGTTTAATTCATAAAATGCTTGTGAATGATTTACCCGTTCACGTTGTAAAAATAATACTTTCTTACATAACTAAGAGACGTTTCAATATCAAAATAAACAACACAACTACAGGACCCTACTCAGCACAGGCGGGAGTACCCCAGGGCTCAGTATTGTCGCCTCACTTGTACTCGATTATGACCCATGACATTTCCATAGGACATAATGGGGTACAAACGGTACTATACGAAGACGACATCTGTTTGTTTAAAAGCAATCACTCTGCCGAAAGCGCAACAAGAACCCTGGACATCCATATAAACAGGAGGTTGATACCCTATCTAACTAAAAACAAAATGAGAATCAACCCTGCAAAAACTGAGAGTATACTCATTACTAAAAGAAGATCGAGGGGTATCCGTAACCCCCTAAAAATCCAAGATCAAAATATACACACAGGGGGACAGGATGAAATATCTGGGTTTTCAGTTAGATAGGGGATTGACATTTGATCTCCACATAAAAGACAGGGTGGCAAAAAACCACATCGCCATTAAGACACTCTACCCTATATTAAATAAGAGAAGCAGGTTCACCCTGTCAAACAAACTACTAATATTCAAAACTATTTTGAGACCAATCCTGACATATGGATGTCCGGTGTTTTGTTCCATGGCAAATACGCATTTCACCAAATTACAAGTAGCTCAAAACAGATGTCTTCGGCTAGCTTTGGGATACGACCGCTATGCCAGAATAGCCGACATGCACAGACAGACAGATACTCCACTCATCAAAGATTATATACTTGATGCAGCCGAAAAATTCTACAAGCGGTGCCTTCCCGATAATGTGAGAGATGATATCTTTAGCATATATCGGGGAGACAACGTGCGTAGAAAACACGGCTGTATCCACGCTAAACTCGACATCTATCAAAACAGACAATAACATCCTCCTCAACGCTCCCAGACATACTAAACAATATCTCGCACCGACTAGCCATTTACACAAAGTGGTCGTACGGCGGACTGATCGCTGGATCGGCCATCGGGGCAACAAACGCGAAACTTTACATTCGCGAGTGTTGCTTGGATGGTAGATACAAAGACCACTCTGCCTGTGGGATATACTAAAAAACCTAAGACTTTACTAACGTACATACAAGGACAACCCTGTTTTTTCTAGCTTTTTCAGGGGACAAAAACGCGACAAATCCCTACCCATTTACCATTACCGATTCCAAAAAGAACCTAAATTCCTCAATAATACCGAAACGGTAAGGAGTGAGGGCTGAAATATTTCCAATAGAAATCAAAAATGATTATTATAGGTGGACATGTCCTCCTCGGTCCCCTGGACCCGCAAGAAAAGCTATTATCCCGGTAGTGTTGTATATACTAATTAATTTTGACATGTAGATAAATTTTTAATATGTAAATAAAATCTTCTTCTAATGTTCTAATCTTCATTATACCGCAGAAGTCAAACGAAAAAACAGAGCGTGATACACCAATAAAACCCGAACAATTCAGAAAAATTATTCATCTTAAAATAACCCTACTGCGTACCAGAAAATGAGAGCGAAATATTATTATTTGCGTGTCACAGGCAGAACTTGTTACATAATAAATTGAAGTGCTACATAACTAAAAGATCTTTATTCAAATTTTTTATGTTTTTATTGTCGCTATAGAGGATTATAATTTGCTATTTTTCAGAAAGTCTCAGAAAATGGCCAGCTGCAGTAGCAGTGGATAGAGTTTGTACGAAGCCATATACCATTAAACCGGCATCACCTGACGAAAAACCTTTATTCATTGAAGAGGGAACCGTTCTTTGGTTTCCAATTTATGCACTTCAACGTGACCCAACCATATATCCCAACCCAGAACGATTTGATCCTGAGCGATTTAATGACGAAAATAAAGCAAACATCAATCCATATACCTACCTACCATTTGGAGTTGGGCCAAGAAATTGTATCGGCAATCGGTTTGCGCTTTTGGAAATCAAACTTATATTTTTCCATATTTTATCAAAGTTTGAAATAGTACCCATTAAGGAAACTAAAATTCCTATACAAATCTCAAGAAAACAGATAAATTTGCTTCCTGATGGAGGATTTCCTTTAGGGCTTAAGAAACTAGTCAAGTAATAAATAAAGTTTGATATTATTGAATACAAAAAAAAAATAACAAAAAAATATTTTCATTCGTTTTATTTTTTTACGTATTTTGTACAAATTTACAAATATTTCTTTAAATAAAAAGTATAAAACATTTTTTATGTATTTTTAATAATTTCCATTATTGATAAAAAAAATCATAACACTTGGAACACGAAGATAAGTGAAAAAAATTTATATTTAAACACGATGAAATACATTTTATTTACAACCATGTATGTAATGTCATTACTAACGTCATTGAAGGTTGAGAAGTGTCACATTACACACCTCTACTTTCCGCCCTCACTTCCCGCCCCCACTTCCCCCCGCCCTTACTTCCCGCCTTCACTTCCCGCTCTCACTTCCCGCCCTCATTTCATCTATTCTAGATGAATATTTTTTATATTTAAAAAAAATAACACATTTTTTTTGACAAATTTTATAATACCTATTTAATGGCAAACTATAAAACACAACAATGAACTAAAATACAACAAACTACTTATTGATATTTTTTATTCGCGAATTTAATATCCGGCTTTATATGACATTTATTTATATTGGTGACAGTTATTTACCCCGTAATCACAGTAACAATACATTTACTTGAATATTGTGAGAAAACCGCGCGCTTGGTAATTTGTCGTTAAATGTAATATTTTAGGTATGTTCAGAACGAAACAGAGATTTATTAACTTTGATCAAAATATGATGGTTGTAAATAAAATAGTATACAAACCTCTGTAGGAAGTTTCATTCCTGTCTCGAGATCATAGCTAACCTCGACGCTTCGCCTCTCGGTGATCTAACTACTCTCACGACAGGAATGAAACTCTTTCCACCTCGGTGTGCAATATACTATTAAAGATGTTTCAACTCACCAATTTGTGCATATTACTAAAAAATCCACCAGAGGTCGCCAAAAACTGAGATCTGTAAATGAAAACCATAGAAATCATATTATCTAAGATAGACTGTGTTTACACCTTTTGTTCGCATCATATATCACGTATTGTATGTCGCACATAAACGTAGTATTTCGGGAGGGTTTACATAAATTTTATAAAATTTATGTATTCATCAAATCTTAATAACATATAGGTACACGTTCAATATGTCCTCTGAATCTAAGGTAAGTTTAAGGAAGCTTCACGGAGAGTGAGGAGGAAAGAGCTCGCCTCTTACTCGAAACTCACTTTCCTGGAAGCACACTTTTTCTAATAAGGGACACAACTAAGGTAAGCAGACCCCCAAGAGAGGCTGCTGTAGTGGCCAAGCGTATATGCAGCAGAAATCGGTTAAGGTGAGCCGTAAACACTTTTAAACCGTTTAAGTCTCCAGGTGTGGATGGAATATTTCCTGCCCTGCTTTAGCAGGCACAAGAGGAATTACTACCACATATAATCCGGCTATCCCGGAGCAGTCTGGAGCTGGGATATATACCAGAAGCATGGAGAAGGGCCAGAGTCACCTTTATTCCAAAAGTAGGGAAAAAGGATACCACACATCCTAAATCTTTCCGTCCAATCAGCCTCACATCCTTTGTATTAAAAACAATGGAGAAGGCTGTTGATAACTATATCAGAACAGAAGTCCTGGAGAGGATGCCACTCCACCACAGCCAACACGCGTACCGAGCAGGAAGATCTACAGAAACTGCCCTGGTACAGTTGACTGATGTAATCCAGGATGCACTGACAAACAAAGAAACGGTCGTGTGTGCCTTTCTAGACATAGAAGGAGCTTTTGACAATACGCCACACGAATCTGTAAAAAGAGCACTTGCATACAGAGGAGTAGATAACATCACATCCAGATGGATGGCTCAGCTGTTATCTTCGAGAACTGCAGAGACACAGATAGGGCAGGACACCATCTCCATCTGCACAAGCAGAGGATGTCCACAAGGAGGAGTTCTGTCCCCACTAATGTGGAGCCTAATCGTAAACGAACTTCTATGCAGATTGACTTACCTCGGCATACCCTGTCAAGGTTATGCCGACGACATAGTCATATTTGCTAGTGGCAAGTTTAATAATATCCTGTGTGATATAGTCTAAAGAGGACTAGAACATACCAAAAGATGGTGCCGTAAAGTGGGACTTAGTATAAACCCTACAAAAACAACACTAGTAGCCTTTTAAAGGAAAAGAAAACTTAATCTCAAAACCGTTAAATTAGACGGGATAGATATAGAATGGAAAAATGATGTCAAATATCCAGGCCTAACCCTGGACAACAAACTTCTCTGGAACATACATAAGAAGGAAGTAGTAAATAAGGCCACAAAAGCCCTAATGGTATGCAGAAACATGGCGGGTAAACGATGGGGATGTAACCCAAACATACTGCGATGGATGTATACTGCAATAGTGAGACCAATCATCACTTACGGGGCTATAGCCTGGAGTAACAGAACTAGTTTAGTTACTACGAGAGCTAATATCTCAAAAGTACAAAGACTAGCCTGTGTTTGCATTACTGGTGCAATGAGAACCTGTCCTACGGCCGCAATGGAGGTGATCTTAAACCTCACCCCTCTACATTTGATGATAGAGAATGTGGCAAAAAGGACACGATATAGAATGATCAGGAGCGGAGTAATCAGACGAAAGTCTACTTGCTTCAGGACTAAAGATACCTGGGACATGCCCCAGGATGAAATGCAAAAGAAGTACAGTTTTGTGAAAAACTTCAAAACCACAGAGCTGGGCTGCAAGAAAGAATGGAGCCAAGAATCCATCGCGCTTGCAACCGCAAGACGTGCTATTCAGTGGTACACGGACGGTTCCAAAACCATAGAAGGAACTGGAATAGGAGTGTATGGGCCGAGAACCAAGCACTCCGAAAGCTTGGGAAAATACCCAAGCATCTTCCAGGCGGAAATTCACGCCATCGAGAAGTGTATCCAGTTTAACATCGAGAGAAACTATCATAGACAAGAGATTATCATCATGTTCGATAGTCAAGCAGCCATCAAAGCGCTGAGTTCTTACGTAATCAGCTCAAAAATGGTATTGAGATGCCTAGAACAATTGAATGAGCTAGGCGAGAAAAATAGAGTTACTCTCACTTGGGTCCCGGGACATAACGGGGTACAGGGTAACGAGATTGCAGATAGTCTTGCAAGGAAAGGGGCTCAAACACCCTTTGTAGGACCTGAGCCGTTCTGCGGTATCAGCAGTAACATAATATTAGAAGAGATTAAAAAAGAATTGGGTAGTAGAAGAACCGATAATTGGAACAATCTCTTGGGGCTGAGACAGGCCAAGATACTTTTGGCTGAATATACCCAAAAAAGATCGGAAGCGTGCATCTGCCTGAGCAAGAACAGGCTACGTATTGTAACAGAGATCCTTACCGGGCACTGCCGACTAAAAGGACACCTAAGTAAACTGAGAGTAGTAGAGGATAGTGATTGCAGATTCTGTGAGGAGGAGGACGAAACCTCCATTCACATCCTAACTGAATGTGTAGCACTCCAGAATCCAAGGGCACTATATCTAGGAGGATATCAAATAGAAGAGGGAGACTTACCTAACTTGAAGCCACTTTAAATCCTACACTTCCTTGAGAAAATAGGATTGGAAGGGTCTCTATAGGCATTGAGACATTTCCTTAGTGCAGTGGCGACAGAAGGGGGCACAATAGATCTTTTAGGTCGCAGTGTATTAACACCCCATTATCAACATAACATAAGGTAAGTTTAAAGAAAAAGTTTTCAATATATACAGGGTATTCAAAAACCGTTCCATTTATTTTCTTATAGATTAAAATTGCAGCTCAAATTGAAGAAATAGTTTTGTTAGTATTTCAAACAACGAAACAAAAAACAACTATACTAATCCATTTAATCATAATTAAGCCCTTATTTATTGAAATTATTCAGATTGTTTTATATTACAATGACAGATCTATCGCATCGGCTGCCGCTTTAGAAAGAACAAGACAACTGCTAATTTGAGTGGGGATGGTTTGTGCGAGTTTGTTTATCTGAGAAGCGAGCATGCCTTTTATGAATAAATCAGTATTTACGTCTACGACGCTTGTGTGCTATCACACTTCAAAATTATTTGTGAACTTTCCTGGAAATTACTTTCAACTATGATAATCGCAACGAGAAAAATACATTACACTGATAATAACTGACAGTAAGAATGCAAATATACTTATGTAATGTAATTTTGAAAGCCTTTTGTGTTTTAAAGCCTTATGTTAAGTCAATATCGAATTATAACCATAAACCATCATTGTAACTAAACTCTTACTTACCTAGTGTGGATAACACTTCAATGTTTAAATTATTTTTGAAAATCTCAAAAAAAAACTACAAAAAAGCACAATAAAAATTAAGTCATTACATTGTTCTGCTTTATATTTATATCTCGATGATGTCTTAACAGCCGAACCAAAAGCGCTATTTTAAGTATTTTGACAAGACAAATGACATTTTATATTAAATTTTCTTTACTCACTAGTGCGTATAGAAAAACTGTATACGCACTAGTGCTTAAAGTAACTTTTGTATTTCTAATCTTAGTGTGTAATATGTACGGTAGTAGAAATATTGTATGCAATTCGTATATAAAGGCCTTTTTTGAAGGCCACAGTATATGAAAGTATCTATTGTAAGCTTTTAAACAAAAAAGTTTTCATTCCGATATCTCAATTAACAACGAAGATAAAAGCGGATGAAATTATTAAATGGTTTGCTAATAATAAAAATGCTTATATACGCCATTGGTATACACTAAGCATTTTTCCATTTATGTTGTTACGACTACTCGTTGCCAAACTCGCATAGGAAATGGAAAGCTACCTTATCCAGTCTGTTCTCTAAGCGGTTCTAACTACTAATCTTGTTCTGTATGCGCCTAAGGGCCATTCGCACAACTTTTACTTTTAGCACCTAAGTGGCACTTAAGAAGGCATAATCGTTAGCACCGTTAAGAATCACTTTACTAAACCCCGAAATTTTTAAACTTAAA